ATGAGTTTGGCGGCCATCTTTAAAAATGGCCGCCATTTTTTTATTTGAAATAGTGTAAGTCAGGGAAACCTCCACAACTCCTCAACAGGTTCACCTACGGATATGTAATATGGCTCAAAATGTTCATAATACAATTCTAAATCTGCTGGTATATGATTCATGTTGTTTAATCAATGCTTTCGGTTTCAAAATAAAAGATTAATCTGAAAACAGCAATATTTTTGGGTTTTTTTCATGATGTCTGTTCATAAGTTTACTAAAAAAAATCTTGTTCAGACCCATATAAGCCAAATTATCTATTTGGTCAACTAAAGTGATTTACAAGATATCAGAAACATTGATCATAAAAAAATAATCTCTAATATGAGTGCCCCAAATCCAAGATGGCAGAAATTCAAAATGGCGGCCAAAAGTTGCTCAAATGGCCAATTTGTCAGATAATAGTTATTTCACAGTTTGATATTACATGTAATATCCAATTGAATGGGATTACTGAACTTAAAATGAACCAAAACACAGAGTGTTGAATATTCAAAAAGGCGGTCAGAATTTCCGTAAAATGATCGATTTTCTGTTTGATGTAGCTTGTAATATGTCTTTTATAAGCAAATAACACACTATTTATGGATAACAATTACTATAGTTTATTTCACTGCGTCTTTTCAACAAGATTTCACAAGTCGTTATCATGTTTTTACTGTTATGGCCTATTGCTCGTGGTTCATTATACCGCTTAAATAATTGTTTGATCTTTTATTCTTGTGCTTATCAATTACAGTTTATACCTGTCTATGTGCATTTGTTTATCTAACGGCTTGGGACAGCTGCCCATACTAGCTGATTTTGCATCCCATTGGAGGGTCCACACTGCTCTTGTATATATATATATATATATATATATATATATATATATATAACCATATTCTTTTCATTTTATTGTCCCCCGCCTTTCGAAGAAAGTAGAGGACTATTAAAATGGGTTCGTCTGTCCGTCCGTCACACTTTTTGCGACACAATAACTCTCTTTCTAATTGAGCTAGAATGTTCAAACTTGGTGTAGGTGTTTATTAGGCCAATGCCTTGATGGAGTTCGAAAATGAGAATTTTTTGCTTAGGGTAAGCAGAGATAAGCAATTTGATTGGTTGATGTTTTGGGACACGATAGTACTTTAGTTCTAATTAAGTGAGAGTGATAAAACTTGGTGTATAGTTTCATTACATCAACACCTTGACTAAGTTCGATAATGAGCATTTTCTGCTCAGGGTAAACAGAACGATAAGCAATTTGATTGGCCGAGACTTTAGGACACAATAACTCTCATTCTAATTGAGGTAGAATGTTCAAACTGGGTGTAGGCGTTCATTAGGTGAATGCCTTGATGGAGTTCGATGACGAACATTGTCTGTTTAGGGTAAACAGAGATAAGCTATCTCATTGGTTGATGCTTTGGGGCACGATAACTTTGGTTATAATGAAGTCAGGGCGATATTAGCTTGACTAAGTTCGATCGTGAGAATTTTCTGCTTAGGCTAAAGAGCGATAAGCAATTTGATTGGTCAAGACTTTGGAACACAATAACTCTGCTTTTAATTGGGGTAGAATAGTGTGTTATTTGATTATGCTTCAATTACTAAATGCCTGACCCATGACCCACCTACAATGCCCAACTAGTCTTATGCGGGACATATTGTGATCAATGGCCAACTGAATGCAGGCGCTGATTGGGCCATGCGATCGCCCGAAGGGCCGGTCGGACAAAAAATGAAAAAAATATTTTTGTCCAATTCGTCTAAAAAAAACCGGTCATGGAGCGACGATGATCATGTTTTATGTGGCCGGTGGCCTTAACAGTCCGCCACGCCATCACTGGAGTCTGGAATGGGCTGGTATAATAGACTTTCTGGGCCGGGTGTGCTGGGCGTGGGCCGGAATTCGGAATCATGCAATGGGGATTTCGAATCCCATCACAGGAGGAATCAACTAGCGCTCCCGGCAACAAAAATGGGACATTTTACAATGAAAATATTCCTACTTTACTTATTCAATATTCCTAACTGGTTAATCAAATGATCAAAATTTTTTCAACTAGTCCCATTTTTTAACCAGTTAAATTCTCTTGACTCCGACGATTCAATGATAATACGTTAATTAATAATATGACGATATGATAATTTCACAGGTTGATGGTTGTAAATTGCTTGTAGATCGGGCTTTTGGCCTAAATTAATCGATTTATAAGATATATTTTTTGACAAAGATTATAATCAGATATGCCACAAAATCGCATATTTGGGGTTCATTTTTCAAATTTTTCCAGCGGGAGAGCCCCCGGAACCCCCGTCCGTGCTCCGCGGTAAGTAAAAGGGGCAGCTCCGACACGGGAGCCCGGGTCGGTTCCCGGCCCCAATCCGCCCCTGACTGAAAGTGTACCACTATATTTATGCCTGATCTTGCTTGACCCATTACCCACCTAAGAGTGTCCATAATTTTAATGCGTAACCTACAGTTCCCCCCATTTTTATGCATGGTCTAGTCTGACCCACCTAGCAATTTTTATGTGTGGCTTAGGTTTTTTTTCGGTAATTAGTGTTGTTTTTTAGTTATTTATTGATTTTTCGATATTTTGGGTTTTTCGAATTTTTTCGGTAATTAGTATCAAAAAGTTTTTTCGGTATTTATCACAATTTCCGTATTTTGTCTGCATTTTTCGGTACTTTTCAGATTTTTATCTCGGTACTTTTCGCATTTTTTCGTTATATGGTACAACTGGACCGGTTTTTCATCAAAGACTCTATGACTGGCAACTTTTCTGGTATAGTCTAGATATCGTATCGACGGATCCATTTCACAACAAGTTGAAAGTTTAAAAAGAATCGTTGCGAAGATAATTTGAAATGCATTTACGACTAGGCATCACAAAAATAATGTCGACCAATTTCCTCTTTCGCATTAGGCAGGCCTATGATATTAAAATGATATCATCATTGTCGCTGCCGAGATCTCCTGTTTCTACTTGTACTTTGGCTAGTGTACGTTGCTGAAGAAAAACAGTAGTTGCGATTGTCACAGTAATTCCAATGAGGTGGATGGTTGTGACATTAACAAAGAGGAAATCGTGAGCCATGGCTTTTGGGATGCCTAGTCGTAAATGTATTTCAAATTATCTCTGTAATTATCATTTTTAAACTTAGAACTTTACACTTTCACAATTTACAAATATGAATCCATGATACCATCTGTCTAGATTCTAGATGATACCACAAAAGGTTGTCAGACTCTTCAAAGTAAAAATCTATCACATTACGATTTGTGGACCAGAAATGAAATGCAATGTGGGTTAACGTCCTACTGTTCTAACTTGGTCAATGAAGATGGCTATTTGTCATACAGTGTGAAATGAGGAAAAATTTGCCCAGACACAGGGATCGAATTCCGGACCTTGTTGAGCCTTACCCACTGAGCCACTATTTCGGCCCATTTGTGAACAAACAGAATAGGTAATTCTTAACAACTAGATATATTTGCAAAGATATATTAAAATTCCATACAGCTTTGCTGGAATAATATTAAATCTTGTTTTCTGATTTACGAGATCTAGTATAATTAATTCCATCCTCCCCTAAAAAACTACTACACAAATTTATAATAAGCAAAGCCAATAGAAAGACTGACAATTGTCCCGTTTTGTTCTTAAGCAATCATCTACGATATTAAAAATCTATTTTTGGGGCAATCATCTACCTTATCCAAAATCTATTTTTGAGGTAATATTTAAGTTTAGTGATCCTGAAAACCCCATAAAGGACATATTACAAGCCGTACAAAACAGAAAAATGACGATTATCTGAAAAATCATTCATTTTAGGGAAAATCTTGCCGCCATCTTGGATTTTAGCCATCTTGGATTTTGGAAACCCTTTTTTTAGAGGTTGTATTTATGTTCTGTGACATCGAAAACCCCCTAAGCGGCATATTACAGGGCATATCAAACTGTAAAATAACGATTATCCGAGGCATCGATCAAATTTTGACTGCCATTTTGAATTTTCGCCATCTTGGATTTTGGGAAACTAATTTTATAGATCAGTTCAAAGTACAATGACTACGGAAACCCTATATATGATATATCACAAGTCTTGCTTTGCGTGATACTCATCCATCCTAACAAGAAATTTATTTTTCGTTAAATTTTGGCGGCCATTTTGGAAATCGGACGGATTCAACCGAAAATGACGTCACAGAAGTGACATAATATCAAAATCGTCTTCAGTGACAAATTTTTCTTCAGAAACAACCGGTCCCCAAATATTGTTGCGATTGCGACAACCCTAAATAAACGTTCACATGGTTAGTACCCTAACTCGCCGAGGCTCAACATTTTAAAATTGACAGTCTACTCAAGACTTTTGTTGAGTTTCCGACCACCGCAGCTGTACAGACTGGGTCACGGAGCGTATTTATTTATGCCAAATGAATAACTTAAGAAGACCACACACAAAATTTGGCTAAATTTACCCTGAACATGATTTGGTAGTGAACTTATAAAATAAAACTTGAAAAAAAATGCCAAAACGTTGCTTTTTTCAGAATAATCTGTTGATTTGGAAAATATATGATTCATTCACCAACATGTGTCATATAACAGCAGCTGTAGAATGTTTTTGCGAGCATTTTGAGCCATATTCCATATCAATAGGTCAATCTGTGAAAGAGTTATGAAGGTTTCCTTAACGCGCTCAATTGCAATGAAAAAACGGCGGCCATTCTTAAAAATGGCCGCCAAAATGGCATTTAGCAAAGTGAACCGGAAGTCCATCAGCCAAATTTGAACACTTCGGGCACCAGGCTAACTGAAAATCATGGTTGAATTTATTCATCAAATTGGTAATGATACTCCGAAATCCGAGGTCTGTCACATGGACTATTTCTTAGAAGTCATTAACGCAAGCATTAGTGTTTAACACATTTTCTTTAACCATATAGCTAATTATGCCAATATACCTGTCTGGTCGATCAATTTTGGTGTAACATATGGCAAGTCAAAGTATAATTTTGTGGACAGTTAAATGGCGTATATTGTTTAATCGGTATTTAGTGACTGAATGAGAATAACAGATGACATGGAGTACAAGCTCTTACAAGTATGTTTCTGGTGACGTTTCGACGAGGTTTCTCTTGTCTTTATCAATCAAAGAGTAATACAGATGAGAGAACCCTCGTCGAAACGTAGCCAGAAAGAAACTTCTCAGTAACATGTCATGTGTTATTAAATGATGTTCTGTGCATTCCTTTTAGGACTGACTCGTCGTGAAAGTATACTATACTTTTTATTTGTCTAAGACGTTAGTCTGAAATAATTACACAACTGAACGTGTTTTTGAAAATATGGCAATGAAGAGGTGAGTTAGGCTACCTTCATATTTAATGAAAATGTCTAAATCTCAGTTTTCATAAAAATCATTAGAAATAACTTGGAACATTGGTAAAAGTAGAGAGGCGTAACAGTACTTTATAATTAATGTTATAATAAAGATGGGTTCCCAGAAAGGTATATATCGGGTGGTTATTTCCAATAAAAGTATGGCAATTTTGGTATATATGGAAAGTAGAGATATCCAATCTTACTAGAAAAATACTGGATTCCCCGAATAACACTCATGGAGCGTATACAGGACAAAAATGTAAGGGTTCCCCTAATCGACAGTCCGACGAGTAGGAATTTCTGCACGCGTGATGTCAAAGGTCACACGCGAACATTGAGCGCTTGATGTACAAGTTGATCAACTTTATGAAGAGTTAGACGTACAACATTTTCTGAGATAAAAATGACGGAAAAAGACGAGGGTAGTGGATAATCCGAGAATTTAATGAGGATTCGATATTTGTAATAAATAGTAAGCGATTAAAGACAACATCGTCTTATGTGTGCAATGAATTCTCCTCTGACTTGCGAGAGAGGTAAGTCACGTGACATAAACATGACCTGTTTTTATCTAATTTTTATAGCAATTACAATGTTTGAAAAGGATTTGAAGCAAAATTATGACAAATTAATTAGTTTGAATATGTTTTTAGTCCATATATACCATTAAATCGCCAAGTTTGTACGCGGGAATGTATCTTCAAATGCCCGAAGAGCAACTTCGGTTGTGAAAACGTTAGCACAAAAATTATGTAGTTTCATTTCGCCAACATAAATTTTACTTATATATATATATTATTTTCTTATTTTATAATTATAACCCATACAAAATTTATTAAATAATTACTGCCGAACGAAGCTATGCAAAATATTTTGGGTATTTGTTTATAGAGGGATTGAACGGCATCTAGTGGTTCGGATGGAACGAAAAACCGATGTCGCGTGTACACGTTGGCGTGCACGTAAAAAAACCATTGAGACCTGGAATTGGGAATAAGAGTATACCATGGAACCGCGGCTTGGGCAAAATGTCCCTCAGATGCCCTTCATCATACAATGTTAATGTTATATTGTGGTTCTTACTTGTCAGGGGTGTAGCGCCTGGTGGGCTGATTAAAAAAAATGTGCGGGTCGTTCGGATGGTAGGATACGAAAAACTGACGTATGCGTCTTGTGTGTACGAATGCAAGAATTATTGGCAGTCGGAAATCGAAGAAACAGCGACGGAAAAGTCGACGGAAAAGTCACTATCCGAGCAAAATGCTTCTCCCTAACAGTGTACACGTAATTAGTCTATAAAAATAATCTTTCCTATATTAGTTTCAAAATGAACGATATGGTGTGTGCTGTAACTAAATATTTTTCTCATTAAAGCATCTTCATGTGGAGATGATTATAAATATGGACAGACAGTTATTTATAGCGTATTATAAAGAAGAATAATAAGACAATGTCCAGAGTGTCAAAGAAGAAATGGCTATTTCTGCTATTGTTATCAGTGATGATTGTGTTGGTTCTCAATTTCTATCCCGAAAAGTTGTTTGGTAAGTCAAAATTAAATGATCATCCAAATTTAAAAATGTTTACAAGATAACAAGATATACTAATTTATAGTATTGTCGTTGGTTAAAACACAGAAGCTCTGTGATAAAAGGGTCAATTTGTATTTCCCCATTATTAAACATACATTATGCAAGAGCTAAATCTGCCTATTGCAGGTCTTTCTTTAGGCCTGAAATGTTATCTAAATTATTAATTAGACATTAATTAACTTATCCAGACCATAATCAAGTCTAGATGCCATCGTTAGCCTGCGATATTTACTGGATTAGGATCCGATCTGCATCCAAATGCTCATTCATTATTAAATCAAACAATGGATAATCGAGACTATGTTTTTTTATCGTACCGACTTTAGTAATGATGATCGAGGAAAGGTCCTAAATTCAATTGCTAAATTCTCGGTTCAGAGTGGATCAATTTGACTGAGATTTTCAGCAAATTCCCTTTACTTTATCTAGTTTTTAACAATTTTTGTGAGAACTGTCAGCTCTTTATCTAATCTCCCATAATGTATCTTTAATATGCAGCAATATACCTAAGCACCATCTTATATGTTCTCAAATTTGGAAGTTGCTAGTAAGAGACAAATTAACATCTTAATTGCGGAGACACGGCCATTCAACATGTAAACTTAAATATGCATTCAGACTATCAGTTCTTTAGGCCCAAAAACTCTGAAAAACGAAGGGGGTGGTGGGGGAGAGGGATTTTACATAGGCTAAGCCTGTTCCCCAATCAATTCAGACAACCTGAATAATATATTGATGTTTTGTTGTTGTTTTTTTTTAAATCTCAACATATCAAACTTTAAGCATCTCTAGCATTGAATATTGATATGATATCTTTACTGTCGTAATTTTTGATCAAACGGACAAATGCGGATGTAAAGTACCAGATGTCACTGATGTTAATATACTGTTCTGGAGGCACCCTTCCGTTTTCTGTACAGCCCAGTGGATCTCTATGTTCGGCCTCTCCAGATGAACTTCATTTGATAGTACTTTTATTTATAAACCGGGAACAGGTTCCAGTAATTTACCAATCTTATTATTGGGGCGACGCGCTTCAAAAAAGTCGATAGCTCTGCCGGTTTGAATCACGACACTCAATCGGATACGGTATTAATATTGTATTGGTAGGCATTCTGAGAACAGTTAAAATTGGGCCCTTTGGTTCCTTAAACCAAGCAAAATGTAACTAGTGAAATCCAGGTCCAAAACACCCCTACCCCCTGATGTTTTAACTTCGCTATAAGATTTTTGTCGGTGCTTCATTTTTTGAAATTGTCTTTTTTTTGTAATTCCTTCGCTTAAGTGCCATCTAAACATTATGCTATCAAAAGAGTGGTGTTAGAGGGATATGGACAAAATAGCTACAACCTCAGCTTGACTTTATATAAACATTAATTTGGTGCTATATTTCGAAGTATATGTCCTCGTCTAGCCTTCTCTCTGTCCTGGCAAAATTCTTACCGGGCCTAACCATCTGTATACATTTTAGTAAATATCTTAAATTGCATGCATAATATTGCTCTATATGCACTTTGTTATCGATGTTTCATTGTTGCTATATTTAAGATATTAAAACAAGACACCATTATGAAAACCACAACAGCAACAGGAATTATTTTGGTAAGTAGATCATGTATTTTTTTTTATAAATATGGAGGACCAAACGGGTCACATTTGATCATTTTAACTGCACCATCGCACCATCACCCATTCACGCTTTTATCCTCAAATCCAACATTATTTGTCTAAACTTGACACTTTCACACTTGAATCAACATTTTCCCTTGAACTTTTCTTCTTAAATATTAACTTTTAAACAAAATCTCTCATGAAATTCATGATCTCTTTTTCACTAATTTAAAATTTTCAAATATAATTTACATAGCTGACTAATTTTTTTCTTTTATATAATTAAAATGTATAACATCTGACAAAGATAATGAAAGATCAACAGCCCAGAACACTTTGGTCAAACGAACAATCTGAATACCAGAACGTTTACTGTGTAACCTACCATGTTCAGATATGGATGTCTGCCGGGGTCCATTGCAGAGTGTGACCCCTGAAGCCACAGAAAAGGTGCCAAAACAGGCTCCGCCAGACAAATTTTCCTCTGCATATACCCCCACCCCGACGTCCCTAAAGTGTTCCAAATTTTGGGCTAGATTAAACATTGGAGGTACCACATGAAACAAAGTTAAAATAAACAATTCAACTTTGTTTCATGTGGTACCTCCAATGTTTAATCTAGCTCAGAATTTGGAACACTTTAGGGACGTCGGGGTGGGGGTATATGCAGAGGAATTATACCGTGGAAAATTTGTCTGGCAAAGCCTGTTTTGTACTCAATGAGATTTCACCCGATTAGATTTTATTACATACTTCGAGAAGGTATTTGTTGAGTAATAAAACCTTCTAGTAGTTTATCGAGGTTCGGGTGCTTCCGGAGTCCAAAATGGCCGCTTTATATAAATTAGAATTTTGGGGATAACTAACCCGAACCCTAACCCTTTTTAAAAGACTGAACTTGGGTCTAATTTAGTTTTTACTTCTCTTAAAAGGGTTAGGGTTCGGGTTACCCATTTGTATAAAGCGGCCATTTTGGTATGAGTTCTGGCTTGTTCTGGAATTTGTTGCTTCTAGTGGTGATAATATTTGTACCGTGTGGTAAGGACGGCCAGCCCTCGATAAACTACTAGAAGGTTTTATTACTCAACAAATACTTTCTCGAAGTATGTAATAAAATCTAATCGGGTGCAGATTTACATGTTCATGTCATTTTGGTTTCATCTGGTATCCCCAATGTTTGATCCAGCCCATTTTTGGACACCCTCTTTGGGGTTTCAGGTGCCACACGCAGAAACTGGATCCGGACAGACATCCATATCTGAATATATTAGGTTACACAGATATTGGTACCCTGTTCGTTTGACCAAAATGCTCTGAACTGCCGATCTGTAAGTACACGTTTATTTTATTTTCACAGAAATGGATAAAAAGTTTGTAGATCTGAAAGATAACGTGAAAATATTGTGTTGGATTATGACAATACCTAAACATTTGCAAACAAGAGCTAAGGCCGTGAAGGAAACATGGGCCCCTCACTGTAATAAATATGTGTTCTTAAGCGGTGTTGAAAACATAACTTTCCCTGTGGTAAAACTTAATATCGTTGAAGGCAAACATCATCTTACCAACAAAACATACGCTAGTCTCTCATACTTATATAGAAAATACGGGCGGGAATACGACTGGTTTTTGAAAGCCGACGACGATACCTATATAATTGTAGAAAATCTACGATACATGCTACATTCCTTTAATCCAAACAACCCGCTGTTTATAGGACGAAAGTTCAAGATGATCATCCCCAATGGCTATATGAGTGGAGGTGCTGGGTATGTGCTCAGTAGACAGGCTTTAGAGTTAGTAGTGACGAAAGGTTTGCCTAATAACACGTTATGTCCTGTTGGGTGGGCTGAGGACGTGGATATAGGCAGATGTGTAACAAATGTTGGGGTCAATCATGTGAATTCTTCAGCGGATCAGTATGGAAAAGAGCGGTTTCACCCTGTTTATCTGAGTGAATATTTCTCAACACATTTACATAACTGGATTTACCCATATTCTCTGGCTAAAGTCTATACGGTGAGTTTTGTTCAACTTCAAAGTACCCCACCCTCCTCTAATGCCTTATAGTACAGAATGTGGGCTTTGGTGGATTATTTGTGGGCTTTGGAACTGTTGTCTTGTGTATTAGCCCACGCTCGATTATAATACAGCTTCTGCAAACAGCATAGATCACATTTGGGGTTAACTTATTATGGTTTCACGCTGTATAGCTTATTGGGCTAATCTACCATGCAAATTTTCATTTCAATCGTTTACTAAGCTTTTGCTTCACTTACAGATAGATTTAAGTTTGTTGTGTTAACAAAAGGAGTAGGAATTCAACAACTTGTTATCATTTAGAGCAGGTTATTCAACCTACTTGTATATCCGCCATTTGCTGTGTCTTGTATAACAACTCTTCCCAAATGCCAAAGTCATTGGGAATCCTAAGGAACATTTTGACACAGGTTTCATGGATATAATCGCGATTTGTTATAAAACCACTTTTGACCGCAATGTGAACAATGCTCCCTGGCGGTGTCGCCAAAAGCATGACTTAAAGAGTTGCTTTTTGCGGGGTCACGATCCAATTCCACAAACCTTTTGTACTCGAGATGTTAATTAAATCTTTGCTAGCTCACGGACTAAGATTTGTCTTTTTTTGTAACTAAAAAGAAGCAAAGAACCAACCCAAAGCGGGCACCTAGTCAAACGCGGTTCCCTGTTTCAAAATGAAATTATATTATCTTTACTTTGTTTTTCCAGAAAGCAGAATGCTGCAGTAACTTGACAATTAGTATGCATTACGTAGTTCCTGAACAAATGTATATGATAGATTTTCTTTTGTATCACGTGGAAGTTCATGGAGAAGTGTCAGGATGGCCGAAAAAATTTCCTTTGTTGTAATCGAACTTCTGCAGAGTGCGTGATAGTAGACCCATACATTAGAATATAGTTATGGACAAGAGAAAGTATTTACTTAAAATTTTAAAGTAGAATTAACAAATCAAGTAATTTATATAATATAAATGATAAAGCAATACAAATAGTTATGAAAGATTTCAGTGTTTTAAACTAAAAAAATACCGTGCAGTCTAATTGAGTTTAAATATTTAATTAATTGGGAAATGGGTGGTATGACTCAATTAAATTTCGAGAAAAGATAAAAAAAAAAAAAAAAAAGAATTACCACAACCCTAGATATTTTAAAATTGTTGAGATTGTGACAACGAACGCAGTGCCCCCCCCCCCCCAATACTCCAGAAACGTTAAAGCTTAAAATTATACATGGAACGTGTTTAACCAGTTCTATATCACATAAAAATTATGTGATAATGATTGACAACACTATTGTCCTTTAAAGAGAGTATCCAACCCGTGACATTGTTAGCGCAGATGAAGTTCAGCCAACAGATGTTATTTAATGCAATATATATTAGGCTTAGTACGGGTATCACTCGAAGGATATGCGGCAGGTGTATTTTATTTGATAAGCCACGTATATCTGCTGATTCGGTGTTGCCATGGAATTGGGTTTTGTTTAACGTCTTGTCGACACACAACTTGAGTCAAATGCAGACACCAAGGAGAGGATTTTGATGGATAGCTGTGTTTCCGAGTATTGGTTTTCAAATTCCAACTGCCACGAGAACCTCTAAAATAACTATTAGTTAGGGCAAACGTTAAGTGGAGCCACCTCCATCTCTATAAAACAGGATCTATTTCACAAGGCCAAACCCCTACTGAAGCCTTACCAGACGAAACGAAAAAACCCAAATCACCATAAGACCAGATACTCCCTTTTTTCCTCTCTTTTCTTTTAAAGTGAAGGATTCTTCCTTCAGAGAACCAACAACAAAGGAATGAACAACAGAAATAAAGACGAAATCATCTACCATACCGGACAACAAAACCAAATTGAAGGAAGAATGCTCCACACTATGTCTAAATGTTCGTCCAAATTTATTTCTGTTTTGTCAAATGTCCGTATTGTGTGCATGTCTGCAAATGTTTGTCCTTGTCTAAATGTTCGTCCACATTCATGTCTGTTTTGTCACAAATTCGTCTGTTTGTAAATGTCTACTGGCAGTTCTTTATTTTTTGCACCTGTTATCTCATGTCTCGTCCTGTTATCTATTGTCTTCTGTACATATATATAAAAACCTAATTATCCTCTTTTTTCACTTATCACATTGTAAATTATTGCACCTTGTATACATAACATGTTATTGTCTGCGATATCACCTCGGTGGAAACGGACGTAAAATACAACTAACACACACACACAAGGCCAACTTCAAGTTTGGTCAAAGGTCACGAGATGTAAACAGGGCTAGCCCTGGATCTAGCCCCAACGCTTACCCTAACTCTGACCTACAATCTCGCCAAAAATCACGAGCCCTAACCAGTTATATCACGGTAGCTGTTCACCCCTAAACTTCCCTATTCTGTGTAGTGATGGCCCCACTACGACAGAAGACTTAAAGTTGCTTCTGGGGTCCCTCCAGGCCTAAGGACCCTGAAGCTTAATCTTCATTGGTTTATATCTCGTGACCTTGACGAAATCTGCAGGTGCCCTAACCCCACTGGCCGGACAGTCTATTGGGGGTTTGGTGTGTCCTAGATTTATCGCTATGCCTTTTGTTTATGTATAGTGTGCAGTGGAAATAAAATTGGTCACTCTTCTGAACATAGTAGCATAGCCTTAGTCTTCGAGCTTAACATTGTGAATGTCAGATTCAGACAGTACTGGGAAAATGGCGCGAAACCAGCCGTGCTCCCCCAAAGCCACAACTATGGTGACCCGAGTCAAAATAATAGAATTGATGATAAATTTACAAGACTTGTTAATGTAAAAGCATAAATTGAACACACAATTATCAAAGATCAGAAAAAATTTAACTGCTTTAATTGCATATTAATTTATGTGTCCCAACTATAATATGTGTCTATCATTCTAAATAACCAACAAACGTGCGTTGATGATTTTATTCTCCAGGTACACACCCCCAGGCCCGTAGCTAGACCAAAACTGTTGGGGGACAATGGATTCTGTGGGCACCGATGTACCTATACTTGACCGGGCCTCCTTTTGGGGGAAAGGAACTATGAAAATGGCCGAAAATTTTAATTTTGAGGCTGAATTTGCGATATTGGCGTATTATGATATAAAAATTTGAAGGAAGGAATATGCCTTTAGCGTACCTATAATAATTTATGAGAAAAACGAAAAGTTCGGAATCGGGTTAGAGTGCGACTTGTTTGAAGTTTGAAGATTATCACGCCTGGTGCGGGTTTGAATCAATCTCATCCCCATCGTGAATTTGACCTGGAAAATTTCCTACAATGTCCAGTTGGCTTTCTTATGGTAGATTTCGTCGTGGGTGGCACACCAATCTCGGCATTATGGGCGCCCCTCCGGGATGAGGCACCCCACCAATCGACGTGGGCGCCCAACCAATCTCACTCGGCATTATGAATTATGTGCGGCTGGACAATCAAGTTGTGGTGTTAATCGTGTCAAGCCACGACGCCATACCCTGTAAAATGCCTTTTTTATATCAAAAAATATAGCTTTTGCCTCACGCCCTTTGTCTAAACATATCGGCGAGTTGCTAAATAGCACAATCATTGATGAACGAATGACAACTTACTCTTTTAATGTACACTTTGTTGTAATAATAAATATTAATATTATTTTATGTAGCGTTTCATTATTATAGTTTACAAAAAAACATTTTTCATTTTAGGCGTTATAGATATAACATATGTTGTGGGGGTACCTTTGTTCTTAGCACTTATTAAATTTAATTAAATATTTTACAAAATGATTCAAACGATGAGACCCCGATGGATCCCGATATAGGCTACAGCGAACCGTTAGATACTGGGTATTAATGGCCTTAATTTGGTCACAGTTGCGTTTATTTATCGTATATTTATTTTGTTACATGTGGAGTACATCGACCATTCGGAATGTCCCTTATTTCCTTTGGGTCATGGATCCCAAGGTAAATTATTTCAGTTTTCTAAATTTTATATTGTTAACTGGAAGTATGACGAAAGGTCAGATGTAGATTGGGGATTAAGGATACTTGAGACTGTCTCCGATCTACATGTAATACGATGGTTTTCATCAAGTATCAACTAAATTTTATTTGGACGCTCTGACCTACCCCTGGCCTCACTAACAGCTCACTGTGGAATCAGCGTAGTGGGTCGTGTCTAAGTTTGGTCACCAACCTCAAAGATTGAACCAAAAAATTAAATCGGATTGGTGTGGAATTGTTGTAAAGTGTATATAGTAAACACAAGCTTTCAGTACTATATAATTTTGATTGGGTCATTTTTTATGCTCTTTAATTTTCATTTCACTGCATTTCAAATTAATCTTTATAATAAAAATATTGTTATCATTTTCATTAATTTTCATATCAAATTAATCTTTATATTGTAACATAATATTCTCATCTTTTTAAATTAATTTTCTCATCAGGTGATGAATTTATTTCACAAAATGATTCAAACGATGGGACTCCGATGGGACTCCGATATGTCCGATATGCAGTGAACCGTATACTGAACTGCCCACAGTCATCCCGAAAATAACGGGTATTGAAGGCCTCAATAATGCGGTTTAAGTTCAAATACATGTTTATTAATAAATAATTATCAAAAACTTATGGATGGTAATTTCAATGGGTAGGTTGCATACATTCACCAATTTTATTTTATGTGAGTAAAATGATGTGCCTTACGGTACTGTAGTGCTCTTAGATTATGTGCACATTTTATATTGGGTTTTCCTTCTTATACCATGGCGAAATAAGAAATTTTGGATAAAGGATATTCCGGAATATTTATGACGTATATCATTAGAGTACTTTAAGTAACAACTAAACTGGTTTGGTAATGTTAGTTATATAGTCCTGATGCGCGGTTATGAAATATTAAATCACAAATAAATAGTATTGTTTGACGGCCACAGAGATAACAGAATGCAAATTTCAAACATGTTTTTCACCCACACACAACGTAAAATTAAAAACGAAGATTTACCAAGCGCTGTTTTGCATTTAAATTATCGTCTGGTGTTTTCATTTCTTAATGTATATTTGATAGATATTTTGGACATAATAGGCGGCTCTTTAATTTAATAGCTCACTAAAGAGGAGGTCCAGGGTTCGATCCCGGTGTTGGCCAAAAAGTTCCCCGGGTTTTCCAGCGTTGTCCCCCCCCCCCCTTGGCGGTGGTATGACGGAGAATCGGGCGGAAAACTGAGGTCCCGTGCACACGTTGGCGTGCACGCACAAGAATCATTGACAGTTGGAATTCAATTGCTGTCCGACGTATTCAGTTGGTGTCAAGCCGTAGGCAGGCCCATAACTAGCTCAGAGCAACGAGGGGGCCGGGAAGTCTTCTCTTGGGGTGCTGTAAAATTGACGGACAATGCATATCTATTGTTTTAATGGTCGACAATTTTTCTCAGGGCTGGCCGTAGGACGTAAATCCAATTTCATTCTTTCATTCTTTGAGTGCCACAATGCCACTTTCCTCTATTAATCTATCCAATAACTATACCGATGACAGTGCCGGGTACACCTATAGGCTTGACATGCTGAAACCCTCCAGATCTACGGGGGTATCTGGCCAAGATGTATAATACGTCTTTCTTACACGCAATGTAGTCGTAAACATCCGTCACTTGCTCAATTGTGTTTAAAACGCAGTTATCTTCCTCTAGTCGTGAGGGCGGAGGATTGGTAAGGGGCTCTGTAAGTGAAATAGCCTAGGGTTTCTCTACATGTAGATCCGACCCTATATATTACTGACTGATGATGATATATTTTATGTTACAGGTACCAGAAATGTTCAGATTTAAAAAAACATTTTATTTCTTTTATCATATTGTGTATTACATGGGTCGTGTTTGTGAACATAGATTTCCTAAAACCCAACGTGGATGTAAGCCCATTTGTTAGCCAGACCATAGCACTGGTTTATAAAAGGCAAACGATGAAAGAAATCGATATATGAAAATTTGTTTGGTGCTATCACCC